TTAAAATTTAGATAATTAATTTTAAATATCATTTTAAAATAAATATAGAACTAGATATATAAACTAGATATTTATGTTTCAAATATTTAGATTTATGATTAATTTGGACATTCAGATCGATTCAGAGTTTTTCCAGATTTTTCGGTTTCTGGGTTATTCGTTCGGTGTGGCTAATAACACTTTGATTCGGATATTTTTTGTACTACCCTACAAAACTTATTTTGGTAAATTTTTTGATTTGTAACTGATTACAGATCCAATTTGTTTTTGTTTAAATTGAGTTTAGACGTCGAGTTATGAATTTGATGCACATATCTACTTTATATAAAATAAAAATGCGGTCCTATAAAATTTTCCCTGAAAGATTATTCTGCATTTTTAAAAATACTATGTCTGATGAAATTAATCAACTAAACAACTATATTCCACATTCTACATGTATAGAAAATATAATTATATAAAATTTGCATCAAACATAAATCCGGATTTTCAAAATCATGGCATGATTTAAATTTGGACTTATTGAACGTGTTGTATTAAATACAATAGGATCAATCTATTTACTAACTTTTAACTATATAAAATTCATTATTTGCACAAATAAATTAAACGTGTCATCTACTCTATTAAAATAGAGTCATTCTTTTTATTTACTGATACAAGTTGTCATTTAAATTTGGACCCTTTCTAGAGTATTACAAATAATACAAACCATATAGTTGATTGAACCGCATTACTTATATTAAACCGGCGGTTATTTATGGAATAAAGTTTTGGGCTTACTTTTGCTTTTATGACATTTAAGTGTTTAGTTTTTGAGCTTAACATTAAAGAAAAACTCCAAAAAAAATTAAATAAACTTTTCACCTTAATGGATCAAAAATCAATTACTATTTTCAGGCCCAAAAATATTTAATATTTTCAACAAAACAAAATTATCTATTATCAATCACTTATTTAAATCATGTACTTTAAAACATGTTAATATATTTTAGCCCAAAATATTTAATATTTTCAACATAACAAAATTATCTATTATTAATCACTTATTTAAATCATGTACTTTAAAACATGTTAACTAGATCTCGACCCGCACAACCGTGCGGGTATTTTAATACGAAATATTTGAAATTATATTATAAAATTTATCAATAAATAAATATAATTTGATTATGTATACTATTCAATTTTATAATAATGTTTATGTGGCTTATTATATTATTAATATAAAATTTATAACTTTGTATTTTTGTAACAATTTTTAAAAACATTATTATGTAACATTTCTAATTTATGTATTTTATTTTATTTTAAAATTAAAATATATGTAAAAATTAAATTAAGGTGTACCTACATAATACATAAGCAAAATTTTGGGATACTGTTAAAAGAATTTTACATAATTTTAATTTTTTGTTTATAGATAAAAAATGAATTAAAACTTTAATTAAATAATTTTTGAAACTATATCTTGAAAAGATTCTAAAAGATTTTTATAAATTTTGTTAGAATTTTGTTAAAACTATTTATTTGTATTTCAAACAAAAATTAAAGATATGAAAAGATATTATAATGTTATGTAAAATTTTATAAAACTATAAAGATGGTCAAAACTAAAATATCACACATGAAATGAGTCATGACTTCTCTTTTAATATAATAGATATTTTTTATTTTAAATAACAATCACTCTATCTTGATAAATTTTAATGGTAAATTTTAAATAATTTATTGTTTTATTTTTTTAAATAATTTACAAATTTTAAAAAAAAATGTAAAGCAAAACCAAAAACCAAATCTAAAAACTAAAATCCAAAACCAAAAGCTCAAAACGCAGGTTATATATATTTTTTTTTATTTACAAAATAAACTATTTCAAAATTTTTAGAAAATTATTTTGTCATCTTTTCTGTTAAATTACATGTTCGATTAATTGAGATTTGTTTGTTGGTAATATCAGTTCAAACTAACTCAGCGGGTCTAAAAATTAAAAACCCAAACCAAAAGCTGAAAATCAAAAATAGAAACTTAAAAACTAAAAACCAAAAACCAAAATTTAAAACAAAATCTACAAATAAAAACTGAAACTAAAAACTAATGAAAAACAACTATCACCACAAATTTTGGTTACTAATTTTATACCAAAACATTCTTTAAATTAAGACAAAACCCAATTATATAAATTTTAAATCATAAAAAATTTCCGCGCTTTTCAACATTAATCATTAAAAAATTTAAGGCTTACTTTTGTTTTTAAAACAGATTATATGGTTTGGTTTTTGGGCTAAGTATTAAGAAAAAACTAAAAAAAACAATGAATTAACTTTGCATCTTAATGGATCAAAAAATCAGTTATTATTTTCAAGCCCAAAAGGTATTTAATATTTTTAAACAAAACAAAATTGTCTATTATTAATCATTTATTTAAATCATGTACTTTAAACATGTTAATATATTTTTTATTTTAAATAACAATCACTTTGTTTTGATAAATTTCAAGGGTAACTTTAAAATAATTTATTGTTTTATTTCTGTTAAATAATTTAATGATTTAAAAAATATAAAGCAAAACCAAAACCAAATCTAAAAACTAAAATCCAAAACCAAAAACTGAAAAAACAGGTAATATTTTTTTGCTTTTATTTATTTACAAAATAAACTATTGCAAATTTCTTCTAAAACATTTTTGTCATCTTTTCAGTTGTAAATTAGATGCTCGATTATTTGGGATTTGTTTGTTACTAATATCAGTTCAAAATAACTCAGCGGGTCTAAAAATTAGAAACCCAAACCAAAAGCTGAAAATAAAAAGTAGAAACTTAAAAACTAAAAACCAAAAACCAAAATCTAAAACATAATCGAAAAATAAAAACTGAAACTAAAAACTAATGAATAACAATCATCACCACAAATTTTGGTGAACTGATTTTATCCTAAAACATTCTTTAAATTAATATAAAACCCAATTTTAAACTTTAATAACAAATCTTAAAATTATAATGAAACTCATAAATAGTTATTGAAAGCTTAGTATAATAGTTTATTGATAAATTAAAACAAAATATAAAATATATTAAGAAAAAACACATTCTCATCATAATAATATTTACATATGTGCTAAATCTATACTATTAAATCTTTTGAAAACAATAATCCAAATTTGTAAAACATAATAGTTTATTTTTAGCAATAATAATGAAATATGATGATATTTAGTTTCTCTAAAAAAATTTGAAAATATGAAAAAAAACTTCAGTAAATACAAATTTTAAAATAAATTTTAAGAGGTAAACAAACCCGTGCTTTGAAAGCGCGGGTCAAAATCTAGTCTTATATATTAAAACAGAAGTCACAACCTTGATTCATGTGTGATTTTTGTAAAAATGGATTATTCTTTACAATAATTATCAAGATTTTCAAATGTTACTTGATTTAATGATAATATCTTTAATATCTTTATCTTTCTATTTGAAATACAAATTAAATAAATGCAACAAAATATTTTTAGAATCTTTTTAATTGTATTTCTGTAAATCATTGAATTTAAATTCTAATTATCATTAAATATCATTAAAATTATTATTTTATTTATAAATGAAGATTTGAAATTATCTAAAATATTTCTAATTATATTTTAATAATATAAATTGATGAAGTTTCGAAAATACTTATTTACAAAATTTAAATAGATTATGCTAGAAACAGATACTGAAATTATATTTCAGATATACATAAATAAAATATTATATATATTTATCTATCTATGCTATTGAAAAAAGTCTTGAATTATTTCATGTGTATTTTTTTTTTTTTGAACCACTCTTTAGAATCAGGATAAAATTTATTTCTGAAAATTTAATTAAGTTTTTAACTATCATAAAAATATAATTAGAATTCAAATAAAATTTATTTTAGGTTCATGAACGAAAATTAAAAATCATATAAATATTTTACTTATATCTTTTAATGATAATAACAATTTAAATTGATTAATTTGCAAAAATACATTTCATAAAGATCTTTAGAAGATTTTGTTAGAAAGAAATATCGTTTTCTGTTTCAATAAATAATCTTATCCAACTTAGTGTATTTCAAGAAATTTTTCAAATAAAATATTTACTATAAAATTATTTTGTAAGTACAATATACTATAGTTTCTCTTTTGAAAATATTTTTTGTTGTTCTTAACAATATCTCAAAATATTTCTTTTATATTATGTAGGTCCAATAAAATTTAACTTCCATATATACATTTCAAATTTAGAAATACCACTAGAAATTATGTTGGTAACTTCCACATATTCACTAAAGCTAATAATATAAAATCCCCAAATCCACAAAAAATATTTTACAATAACTTAATGTGTTTTAAGTTATGGTTTTTAGAATAAAAATTTAAATTATATCATATATTAAATCTAATCATCATGTTAAAAGACAATAATTATATTAAATTAAATATAATAAAATTAAATTAAATTGATAAATTTATAAAAAAGTTCATAAATATAAACTATTTATTTTTAAAAAGGTAATATGATGACATAACGGCTTAAAATTAACAAACTATATATACATGTCTAAAAATTAACATATCTTATACTTTTGTATATACAATAATATATTATCTCAAATGAATAAACATAAAAATATTGGGAAAATAAAATGCAACTTTGAAAGACAGATCAGAATTTACCATAAATTAAATACAAAATAATTTTTAAATATGTTTTCGCATGAATATATTAATTTTATTAATAACTAAATGCAAATACAATAAGATAATATATAATAAGAAGTGACAAATAAATATGATTTTAAATAATTGATTTATATAACATGTAAATTATAAATTTATTGTATTTGAAATAGTTATATAAATATTTATGTATATGATTAACGTTAAAAACATATACAACTTATGTTCTAAAACAAATATTTATGTATATAAAAGTGAAAACAAACACATGCGTGGTCGCGCGGATCAACATCTAGTTATATGTTTATTATTTATTACTCTATTACTCTAAATAGTTATCATTAATCTTCCCAAAAACAAATCCCCAAATAGCAAAATAACACACAACAAAGAAAACAAATTACAACAGGTTTAAAGTTTCTTGAAAATACTGGTCAAAGTAGAGATTACAAAGCACAAATAAGAAAGAGAAGAAGAAAGCTTACTATACAAGTGAGTCGTGACGCTCCCACAAGAAGAAGAAACCAAACAAAAGACTTTCTTCTTTTGGGGAAACTGTTTAGCCACCATCAGAAAGAAACCCTTAGCTCTTGAGACCTATTCGTCCTCCTCGAGTTCAACAATCTGCGCACGTCTCTGAGCAGCTTTCCTCCTGATGAAGAAGCCCCATCTCATAGCTGCTTTGATTTTTAGCCATCCAACAACAGGCTTACCCGATTGTGAACGGTCTTCCTCATAATCGCCCATAGAAGAAGACTGACCAAACGAGTGGAACCCAAACCCGTCTTCCCCCATGTTCATTGGAGTTTGCGGGCCACCACCACCACCACTCATGCTAAAGAGTCTCAACAGCTGCTGCATATCATCGTTCTCAAGCATTTCATTACTTCTAGCCCTTATCTCTTCCTCTGATAAGAACCCATCACCTCCTCTGTTTCCTGTGTTTGACCAATCATTAAAGGGGTTCATCTCAGTATGAGGCTGAACCAAGTGTTGGTTTTGGGATCCTGTTGGTGGACCTAGTGCTAATCTCCCACCACCATTTCCGTTGATCATGCCTTGTGATTCATGAGTGTTGTTGACTAGCTGGTCTTGAGGTGCAAATGAAGCGTTTCCATAGTTCATTATGTACGAATTAGTATCAGACTGAGCAGGGAAACTTGAAGCCGAAATCTGATTGTACACTGATGCTGAAAAAAACCAAAGAATGACTGTTAATTAGGTTGCACAACAAAAGGAAATTGATTTAAAGATCACCTCACCTTCGCCGGTTATGTCTGAATATGATGTAGAAGGTTGGCTTGGGACAGAAACTGGCATTGAGTAGTCTATTAAATCAGCTGTCTTGTTAACTTGGTTGAAGTTCATCAGTGACTTGCTGTCATACTCAACAACTTGATCCCAGTTTTCATAAGCTTTCTTCACCAATGCATCAACATAACCCTATACATATAATACATCAACATTTTAGTAAGAGAGAAGAAACAAATCTATAAGAAGCAGAAAGACCACATCAACACCAAACCTTTTGGTTGTCAGAAAGAGAATCAGCAGGATAGTACTGCTTCCCTGAAATAAGACCACTAAACTCATAGATGTTGTTGAAAACAACACCAACTGAGTCCTCAGGATAGTAGACGTAAAGCATTTCACTCAAGACACATGTCTTTGAATGTTCTGCAAGTGTCTCCCACATCCTGTTCGACATTCCACTCCCAAGAATCTGAAAAAAAATTGAGAGTAAAAAATCATCATAGGTCCTGTTCGTTTTTTATGCTGGATGCTGCATCTAGAATGCAAATGCTCAGATGATGCAAAATCTATACATTTAGAAAATCTAGATATTTGAAATGCCAAAAAAGATGCTAATTATTATTAGGTATAATATATTTTAAACTGTAAAATTCAATTTTTTTTTCCTCCAAAACCCGTAAAATCTAATTGTAGTAAAAATCATAAAATCGAATTCTCTCACTAAAACCACAAAATCACATTTTCCAGCCAATGTTCATCTTAGATGTTACAACCAAATACAAAAAAAGAACATGACCTAACTATTTCAACATCTTGATAAGATACAATGGATAGTGAGAGGGTGCACTTACAGTCCTTAGTTTCTGAGAATCTTTAACCATAAGACGAAGAAACTCTTTAACGTTGTAGATTCCTGCTTTATTCAGTTTCTTATGGAAAGCTCCATCCTTACCAATCTTCTCCAACCTCCAGACTTCATCATCCAAAGCAGGTGGATAATGTTTCTTGTACACTGTAGAAAACAAACCATTAGAGAGTAACAAAAAAAAAACGTTAACCAAAGAAAGGAGAAAGCATGAAACTTACACTCTCCACGATGGTCCTTGACAGTAAAAGCTTCTGTCTTCGCCTCGCGCACACGTAACCCCTCACAGTAACCAGAAGACACCTTTAACCCCAGCCTAAACTTTCTACATCTTATCCAACTCGAGTTATCCGTAAAGATAAGTTCCCCTAACGTCCCCACACCTTCTTTCAACGTCACCTGAACATCACCTGTCAAAAGAGGCCTCTTTCCTTGACGCTCTTTAACCAAATGACTCTCAAACTCTTCTTCAGTCCAACCTTCATCATCTTCGTTGTTGAAATCCCCGTCAAGCACAACAACATCAAGCTTTGCAGAAGCTTCAGGGCCTACTGTCAGTACATGTCCTGTTGTGGCATCTAATAGTACAACGTGGATGGCAGCACCTTGCTCTCCTTCTATCTTCCCTCCAGTGAACAAAGGAACAGAGAGTCTAGACCTGAACTGCAGCTGCAAGTTCCTTCCACCAATGCCTTCTATTCGTTTAGGAGAAGATGACCTTTCACTGAGTCTTGCAGGGCCTAGCTTCGCCAATGCCCTCTCCACCTCTTCACTTACCACTCGGCGAAGAATAGGTTCTAAAGATGAGCAAAGTCTCTGTAAGCTATCCATCTTCAAAGCTTCAACAATTACACTGCAAGAAACATACAAAACACTTTCTGTAATTCAATAATCAATTGTAGATTTAAAAAGAGAGAATCTGAGCAAAGGACACAACATAACTAAAAGGGTTTGAAACTAAGACAAGGATCAACGTAGGTTACCTTGCAAGAGCGGGTCTTTTACGCTCAGGCTGCTGCTGCTGATTAGTATTATCATCTTCCTCAAGCTTTCTCTTTTCTCTCATACTATTAGTCCTCTCCATATATCTAGTCTGCATCTTTTCTCCCGAAAAGCTAAAAGATCTGTAAGAAGGAGACAAGCAAAAGCAAAGACACTTCACTAATCTAGAAACTGTGATCCGATTTGAAGGAGAGAGAGAAAAAAAAAATACCTCAGAAATGGTGTTTGGTTTGGATAGAGAGAAAGAGAAAATCAAAAGAGGTTATGTTCTGTCTTTAATTAATTTACTTCAAGCACTTGTCTTGGTATGTGATTAGTCGACTACTTTGACTGGTTGTAGTACATTAAGATAAGTATTTGGTGCGGGCGTGACCACTGTAGGATTAGATTGCCGTCACTTTGGTGTTCGTTTATTGGTCGACAGTGTTGGGCCGGCGGCTAGTGTATGTATTTTTTTTAGCACATGCTTTATTCTAAAGTTGGAATATAAAAATTAATACTTTGGAGTTTGTATATAAAGACTAATTATTCAAGCTTTTACACTATTAAATTAGTGCAAAAGTACAAAAAAACATCATCATATCACTTGGGATAAGATTCAACATGGGTTTTATAATGGGAAAATTATGATAAAAAATCTTCAAAATAACACTTACTATCACTTGAAATCTTAAACTTATTTAACTAGTATATTAAACATTTAACTTGACTTTTGTATCACAAAAAAATCTTCAGTTGGTTTACTTATTCATCAAATTAAAATTATGACTTGTTAACCTGCAATAGTAGATAACATGTTGATAATTATTTTATTTAATTAATAAATATAATAATAATAAAACCTAAATGAAATTAGAAAATTACAAAAAATTCTAAAATTGAATTTAATAAAAATAAAAATATTTTCTTAAAATTTATAAAGTTTTTAAATTGAAAATTTTACAACTAATTTTTTTCTGAAAATGTCATCTAAAAGCTATTAGATATTCTCAGAAAAAAATAAATAATTTTCAACATTATCACTATTAACTTGAACACTCTTTTTCATATCGTTATTAAGAATAACATATTTGGTTATATCGATAATGAAAACAGTATCAAAATAATTGTTATCTGTATATAAAAAATTATCATCGTTAAAGATATCAACAAAATTAAACATTTTAAAACTTAAGGTTATTATTAATTGTGATATGAAGAAAAGTGCTCCTTTTACTGGTGGTATATCCACATTATTTATTTTTAAATAACATTTGAAAGCTTTATATAATTTTATTTTAAAAAATTACATTCATATTTCACAGATTTTCATTTAGAATAAAAATCAAACACTACAAATTCTTAAGAAGATATTTTGATTTTTTTTTAAAATTAAGATTTTTTTTTAATTTTTCTGTACTTTTAAAAAATTATTTTTGCAAAACTTAAATTTTTAAAAGAACCTTAAATTTTAAGAAGACATTTTCAGTTTTATTAAATCTAATTGTAGAAATTTTTCTGTAATTTTTGAATTTTCTGTAATTTTTTTATTGTTAGTTATATTTATTAATTAAATAAAATAAAAAATCAACATGTGACCTACTATTGTAGGTTAACAAGGAAAAAAATTAATTTGATGAACAAGTAAACCATGTTGAAAGTTTTTTTGTGATACAAAAATCAAGTTAAATGTTTAATATGTTAGTTAAATAAGTTCAAGGTTTAAAATGCTATTGAGTACCAATTTGAAGGTTTTTTAATGTTATTTTCCCTTTTATAATGTAAAGAATACATGAATATTAAAACGAGATCTAATTGCAATAGAAAAGATTAGGTTCATAGATTTCTTTATTTATACGGTTTACGTTTACACAGCTTTTTAAAACAGCGTTCACTGATTGTAACATTCAAATCATTCTGATTGGTCTATAGTTAAATAACTTAAATTCAGTCTTCTTTAGGTTTACCAACCATATAAAATGATACAAATACAGAGCACTTTAAATTAGTCAAACGGTTTTTTTCTTATGGCTGAGTAGAATAAAAATACATTGAAAAGTTGCAGAGATTATTGAATTTTAATTTTTACAAAATTCTGAAAGAAATTCATTTTAATTTAAGTTATAATGAAAACAAAACATTACAGCCATTAAAAAAAATTGTCAAAGAAATCAATTTTTAATCTTAAGTAATAGTGAAAACTCCGCATTATAGCAAACTAAACGGGACAATACCAACAAGTTAATTGCAAAACCAACCTATTTTTTTGTCATTACTCTTCATCCATGAAATTTTCAAACCATCCTTCTGTTTTTAAAATATTTACAGAATTGCCATTATTATTTATTTTTTTTAATTATTTCGAAAATTACAAAAAACCAATTACACCCTAAACTTTTTTTCTTATTTACAACAATGCCATCTTCATCAATTTTCAACCACCATGAACCACCATTTTTAAGTTCTTTAAACCTCTCAAACTCAATTTTCAACCACTTTTTTCTCATTCTAACCAACAAATCTTCACTTCCTCTCATTTCCTCTCTATTTTCATCTAAAAAACTCTCATACTTTCATTTTCATAAGCATAAATTTTCATTATTTCGAGTATACTCTATTGTTGGTCGTCTAAGCTGGTTCTTTTTCTTCATATTTGGAGCTTGGACGGTGGAAAAGGGTGGAAACGAGCTTTACACCGGAAAATGTACCTATTTACATGGTTTTCGTCATTTTCAGATCTGTGTCGCGATAGAAGACTGTATCGTATGTCTACGCTTACGTGTAGGCTTACGATGCAGTCTACTTGTCAACGCACAGGTTAGTTTTGCAATTGACCAGAATAATTGATTATGCAAATTAGACTTCCCTGGAAGTCTACGTCATTACCTTTGATAACAAAAACAAAAAAATGAGGTAGACTTACAAAGAAGTCTACGTAAAAGAGGTTAGTTTGGCATTTGACCAAACTTTTGACTTTTCAATGTAGACTTCGTCGGCAATCTACAGACTGTTGTAGACTTCCGGAGAAGTTTACAAAAAAGTTTGTTTTGTATTTGACCCAAATTTGACTCCGTTGAATAGGTTAGTTTTGTATTTGACTAAAATGTTAAAAAGTTGACCAAAAAGAAAAAAAAAGTGTGAACTTTAATTACAGTACACTAATTTCAAAAAATAAACGATAGACATTACATGAAGTCTACTATTTTATTTTGGTCAAATGGAAAACTAACCTTCCGTATTTGTGGGTAGACTTCGTATGAAGTCAACATGTATGTAGACATTTGTTTCCGTTTACTAATAAAACGTCAAACTTGGTCAATTGCAAAACTAACCTCTCTCAAAAAAATTCAAACATGTAGACTGCTTCTAAAGTCTACTTTGGTAAGTCAAATCTTGGGTGATTTTTGGTCAATTGAAAAACTAACATTTTTGATATGTAGACTAAAATGGAAGTCTTTTTTTTTTAAACCTCTGAATTGATTAAAAAAAGGGGCGGGGGGAAACCTCCAAAGTAACAAAGCCTTGTACCATAAGGCATACATGTAAGAAGATATATCAAAGCGACAGAATTCTAAAGGTAAGAATTAGGAGTCACTTCTCCTTGTTTCTCTTGAAATACGGTCATGAAGCCATGCTGGACCTCCCATCGCCAGGTATGATTGAAAACGTCCATCGCGCAACACACTTTCCGCGATCTCTCTTGCAACTCCATTGGTTGTAACTCTTTCATTTTCAAAAGCCACTGATACAAATCCCTCTTTCAGATGCTGCACCTGGCTTAAGAGAGACTGATATCTGGGCCACTGCATAGGTGAGTTTATTGCTTCCACTACTTCTCGATAATCCGACGAGATAATTATCTCTGGAATATGCAGATCTCGCAGGCTTTTCATTGTCCAAATTACACATCTCAACTCAGCAATCATTCTGTTTGGTGCCTGTGCAATGGCATCTCTGGCATGAAAGATGACGTTACCCGTATGGTCACGAGCCAACCACGCAATCCCACTATGAAGACAAGTGCTTCTCCACTTGGCGTGAATATTACTCTTGACAATGCCATTCACTGGAGTGTTCCATCTTTCCATCAAACCCACGCTCCATGTCCTCTCAACGCTTTGAGGTCTCATTTTATTGAGTGAGAACCATAACTCTGTTTCCTCCTTCATCTCCTTTATTAATTGAGGAATTGATCTCTGAGTTTCAGCATATAGGATAGAGTTCCTATTCTTCCAAATAGTCCAGAGTAGCCAAGGAACAGAACGTGATAATACCTGTGGTATGCTAGCATCTTCGGGAATTTTGAACGCGTAACCAAGGTTTTCGTTCAGAGAAGAGTGCAGCGATGATTGTGGAAGAGGTAAGCCTGCCTGTTGCCATATGTCTTGAGCCGCAGCACACTGGAAAAGGACGTGATTGATTGTCTCTCTGTCACAATTACAGAGACGGCAACGTGTATCCATTCCAATTCCTTTTGTCACCAAGCGGTCAGCTACCGCTAATGCTCCAGCGATAGCCCTCCATAGGAACATTCTTATTTTAGGCAGTGTAGGGATCTTCCACACTTTTTTTTTCAGTTCCAGTAGTTGAAGCTCTCTATGATCCCTTTGTATATCAGCCACCGCTTTAGTCCTCCTTAACACCTCATAACCACTCTTGACTGTGTAAGCTCCATGTCTTGTGGATGACCATATAAAACGGTCTCTGGTGTTCCCAGGTGTCATGAGCAATATCCTCTGCACTTCATTAGAGGGGAATAACTCTGATAACTTCTCCATCATCCAGTTACCCGAATTATCAATCAGAGACTCTACCTTTTGGTTGACGTCAATCATGACCTGACGGTTCACCGGTCTGCGGGCTACTCCATCCTGAATCCATTTCTCTGACCAGATGAAAGTGTCAGCTCCATCACCAATAGATTTTATTAAACCCTTCATCAACAGCTCTTTACCAAACATGATGCTCCTCCACGCATATGAGGGACGGTATCCTTTGCCACACTCCAAGAAATCTCGATTAGCATAATACCGGCCCTTGTAAACCTGAGCCAACAAGCTTTGAGGTTCGTTCAGCAACTTCCACGCCTGTTTCGCTAATAACGCCTGATTAAAGTCC